AGTTATATTTGACTGGATATGGTTTGGGCTCGTATTAACTGGGAAAATAATGGAGATGGCGTAATTCTGTGACTGGTGACTTAGCGCCTCTGACTGGTGACTTGGGGTCCCTGACTGGTGACTTAGGACCCCTGACTGGTGACTTAGGGTCCCTGACTGGTGACTTAGGACTCTAGACTGACATATAGGACGCCATAGAACAATAGACAGACACCCCCAAGACAGACGCCTTACCCAGACAGGCTGACGGACTTCCCCCTGCCCCCGAGCCCCCCCTGCCCCCCCACCCCCCAGAGCTCCACGGGGCTAAGATTGTTTGCTCTTCACGCTCTGATTTAACGCCGCTCGTGTGATTGTTTGCGCTCGTTAGAATGTTTACAGGCAAACAATAGGGCAGAAGAAAAGAGGATGCCGCCGCGAGCGATGGTCCGCCAGGCGTTCACCATCACCGTCACCGTCCCACCAGAGGAACCCGTTTGGTGTCTGGGATTTTTTTTATTATTATTTATTTATTTTTTTTTTACGTTTGTTTATCAATATTTATTTCTTTTTTTCTTTTCTTTTGCTTATTTTCGTTCACTTCTTATTTTATTTTTAATTTTTTTTAATTTTTAAATTTTGTGTATGATTTTCGCTCAATATTTCCGTTTATTACTATTACCATAACCTGAAGAATCTCCATTAACCTAACCTAACCTAATCTAGGGTGGATATTCTTCAGGTGATCATAATGTCATTTACGATTTATAAGACGAATATTGTAAACAAATAAAAAATATGTAAAAAAAAAAATATATATCTATATATATATATATAAAATTGTTATTGAAAGTTGATTGTTTTGTCTTTGTGTTGGTAAATAACTGTACTTTTGCGTGGCTAAATCAAGAGGCGGATGTTTGTTTTTTTTGCGGTAACGGTGTGTGTGTGTGTGTGTGTGTGTGTGTGTGTGTGTGTGTGTGTGTGTGTGTGTGTGTGTGTGTGTGTGTGTGTGTGTGTGTGTGTGGTGTGTGTGTGTGTTCCCAAGTTCCTCATCCATCGAGCCTTCCTATCCAAACGCGTCTGGCTCCATCCTTACCCTCCCTCCCCCTCTCCCTCACCGTCCCTCTGTTAAAGTTCCTCACCTGTGGTCACTGTCCCACAGGTCACCATCCCTCATGTATACCTGTTCTCACACACACACACACACACACACACACACACACACACACACACACACACACACACACACCTCTTGACGACCCCTACCTAAGGTTCCTTCACCTGTGTTGCCTCGTTTAACTCCCTTGGCCGTGGTTATGATTCCCTCGCCTCCTCCCACAGGCCCCTCACGCCCCTAGGCACACTGTATGTCCGCCGTCTCTCATGTTTGGGTATTGTGTTTATGGTTCATCGTCGTCCGTATCTTCCCGCGTCCGTGTTTTTATGTCTCAGTGTCCGTAGTTTTCTTCCCTCCAGTCCAAATGGCTCCCGCTTTTTTTCCTCTCCCTCCCGCCAGTTCAATCTCCTCCTTTTACGTCTAACTCTTCCTTCTACCTCCACTCTTACCTCCACACTCCACATCTAACCCTTCCTGCTCCCTCCCTCCACCCTCCGTGCCCCGCGGCCTCTACCCCAGCCCCCCTCTCTCCTCCTCCTCCACCTGCACCTCGAGCACCCCCCCACCCCGCCCCTGTGCCTTACCCTCGTCATTAGTTCCGGGCGGTGAGTCCAAATGACGGAGGTAGTAGCGAGGGGGCGCATAGCCGCTGCCACAAACACACGGGGTTTCACCTCACGACGCCCCCCACCCCTCTCTCTCTCTCTCTCGGTTCCTCACCCCTCACCCCTCCTCTTCCTCCACCTTCTCCTCCTCCTACCCCCCTCAGGCTCTCACCCCTCAACTCTCCTCCTCCCACTCCTTAAGGTCCTCACCCCTCCTCTCCCCCTCACCCTTCCTCTTCCTCCTCACCCCTCACCCCTGTCTCCAACCTCAAACATATATAAAATAAAAATTTCGACCTTTTTTATATTCACCCTTTGTCTTATACTCAACCTCATTCATCAGTATTATCTTCTTCGTTATCAGATTTTGTGACATTATATACATTTCCCTCTCACACTTCCTTCTCACACCTCCCTCTCACACTTCCCTCTCACACCTCCCTCTCACACCTCCCTCTCACACTTCCCTCTCACACTTCCCTCTCACACTTCCCTCTCACACCTCCCTCTCACACTTCCTCTCACACTTCCTCCACACTTCCTCTCACACTTCCCTCTCACACCTCCCTCTCACACCTCCCTCTCACACTTCCCTCTCACACCTCCCTCTCACACTTCCCTCTCACACTTCCCTCTCACACTTCCCTCTCACACCTCCCTCTCACACTTCCCTCTCACACTTCCCTCTCATCCTTATTTTCAAATCCAAATTATTTCATACTTTTTCTTCACCTAACCTAACCTAACCCTTGTAAAGTTTATGTACTACTAAATCATCTTCACTTTATCATGTATCACCATTACTGTATCACTGTACCACCATCACTATCACTATCACCATCACTATCGTTATCTGCCTATAGTGACTTCAACGACTTACGACAGAGAGTTATCCACGCCGGCATGTGATGGTGGTGGTGATGGTGGTGATAGGGGTAGTGGTGATGGTGGTGATAGTGGTAGTGGTGATGGTGGTAGGTGATGGGGTAGTGTTTGGTGGTGGCTGATGATGATAGTGGGGGTGATGAGGAAAAGAGAGGGAGAGGGGCAGGGGGGGAGAAGAGAGAGAGGGAGAGGGGAGGAACACTGAGCTACGGGTATAGATGCATGAATCAAAAAGAGGGGAGAGGGAGGTTAAGACGGGGAGGGAGAAGAGGGAAGGCTGAGTATGTGACTATGGGGAGGAAGAATTGAGGGGATGAGGGGGGAGATGAGGGGAAGAGGGAGGGTGAGAGACAGGGGGGGTTGAGGAGGGGGAGCATATGAAATGAGAGAAGGGAGGAGAAGGAGATGAGGGGAGAGAGTGAGAGAGACAGGGGGGGGGTTGAAGGAGGGAGTGAGGGAGGAAGGGGACGCGTGTGAGTTACGGGGGAGAAGGAGGGGAGGGGAGAGGAGGGGGAGGAGAGACTGGCGGCGGCTGCCTCAAGGTGAAACACCGCCTGGGGGGAGGCTGGAGGCAGCAGGGGGGTAAAGGTCACCCGCTGGAGGGGGACACACCTGGGACACCGCACCAACACTCCCTCCAACCCTCCTCCTCCTCCTTCTCCTCCTCTTCCTCCCCTCCTGCCACCTCCTCCTCCTCCGTCACCACCAACTCTCCAGCTTACTACCTCCACTATTTCCTCGCTACGTTCCTCCTCCTCCTCCCTGTGCTACTCCCGCCCCCCCGCCCGTGCCCCATTTTTCACGTCCCGAAAATCTTCAATTGCCCCTCATCCCCCTCTCCCCTCCACTACCCCGGGCACTCTGAGTCGCTCGTGTTCTCCCTTAGGCACTCGGGCAGGTCCTCGGGCACTGCTGCAGGTCCTCGGGCACTGTGGCAGGTCCTCGGGCACTGCGGTAGGTCCTCGGGCCTTTGTGACTCATTCAGAAAAGTTCCTGGCATTCTGGGTCGCTCGTGTTCTCCCAGAGGCACTCAGACGAGTCATTGGGCATTCTAGGTCGCTCAGACAAATCCCCGGGCAGTCTGAGTCATTCGTGCAGGTCCCTGGTTACTAGCGTCCTCCTCCCGGACACTCCAAACATGGCGTCATGACTCACCTGTGACTCGAGTAACAGGGGCGTTTTGTAAGGTTCAGTCCTGCCCCCCCCCCCCCCCCCTTAGGACCAGACGTGCCGCGTTTGTCAACAAGTGTGAGTGTGAACCTGACGCAGCCACACCTCCCTCCCTTTCACCTGTACATTCTCACCTGTTCTCTTTCCCCTCCTTATCCCCCATCACCTCTTGCGTTCCTTTTCCTGCCTATTCCACCTCTCTTCATCTATTCCTCACCCTTCTTTCTCTCACCTTCACGTACCTACCTTACCTACTTTACCTACCTCTCACCTGTACCGCTGCATCATCATCAACACCTCTCTTTCACGCCTCAACACCACCCTCCTTCACGCCCACCTTCCCCACACACGCCTTCGTCACCGTGGTCAGGCAGACACGGGTTGGGAGGCAGTGTAGCGCGTGAAGATGGAAACTCACCTGAGCTACCGCGAGATACAATACATTATTAAACCTTACCCTTACGATGCAATGGATATCTTTTTACTTTCATTGTTGCAGTGATGTCTTGCAGTAGTGGGTAAACGTTTGCAATATGGAACAAATATATGATCATTGCACTGCTGGTTACACTGAGGCTGGTGTTTATTGTAATGGTATTTGATGGGACGAGGAAGTACTGTCACAAGCACGGTATACGGAGGCCATCTATCCATTGACGGGAATACTCATTGATGTCGAAGGTCCTTACCAGAGCGGATCATTCCTCCCTCTCCCCCTCCCTCTCCTCTCCCCTCCTCTCCTCTCCCCGTCATAATACATAACCCTGATATGTATACCTTATCGCAAGTCAAGATACATAATTTTTACTTTCAGGTATACATGAATTTATGTATACGTGTATTTATATATCCATGTATTATTTAGGTGTATAACCTAATTATCCATTATATATTATTTTTTGGTTTTAATTAATATATACATTTTATTATTCATATTCATCTGTTATTTTATTTAAAGTTTATTATATTATATCTTTACTAATTAAGATACGTGTTTGATATTTTTTTGTAATTATTATACATATAAATTAGTATTAGGCAACATGTGAACTCCTATTGCTAAGTTTTTATATAAGTCTTGTGTCTGTCTGTCTGCCTGTCTGTCTGTCTGTCTGCCTGTGTCTGTCTGTCTGTGTCTGTCTGTCAAGTGTGAGTGTAGGAGTCATACTAACCCCCTCCCCCCCTTTGTGTAGTATGAGGATAAGGAACTCACCCTAATCCATCTATTCCTTCTTTTACAGATGTGGAAGAGGAGACCGCCTCGCTGGCTCATGTCCCTTCCACCTTCCACGAGTATGTTCCAGACTTCAATGAATTTCTGGAAGGGTATGGCGGCCCCCTTCCAGAACACCGTCTCAACCCTGTCCTGACCTCCTCTTCCTCTTCGTCCTCCTCACATGGTCCACCAGCGACTTCTTCTGTGCCCTCGTCACTTCCTCCTCAAGTTGTGGTGTCTTCTACGGCGTCGTCTTCGTCAGGGACTACCACCTCGCCCTCCAATACATCGTCCAGCACGCCCCATCCACCACCAGCACAGTCACTACAGTATCTAGACGGTAAGTGCCTCCTCGTCTTTGTGTTCTTTCTCCTATTTTTCGTCTTTTTCTTCTTCTTCGTTCTCTTCCCCCTCCTCTTCTTCTTCCTCTTCTTTGTCTCCCCTTCTCTTTTTCCTCCTTCTCTTCGTTGTCCTCCTCCCCCTCTTCCTCTTCATTCTTTTTTTCTCCCTTTCCTCTTCCTCTTCCTCCACCACCTTCTCTTTCGCCTCCTCCTCCTCCTCCTCCTCTTCCTCTTTATCCTTCTCCTTCTCTTCTTTTTTACTCATATAGTTTGGAGGATTAATTCCACATGTTTATTAAATCCTCTGTATAGGAGGAGATTAATAGCATGAGAGGGGATTTATCATGCCTCTATTAAAGCTTGTGTGGTAAAGGGATTTATGCTTCACTGATCTATGTATGAGAAAGGGATTTATCATGCTTTTATTTCTCTATAGGAAGGGATTTATTTGCGCCCCTTTTTTGTTATGCTTTTTTGGGGGGATTACCGATGGTTTCTCCTACACAATATTTTTTCAGCTCCTGATTTCTATATGGTGGTGGATTAAATATTTTTATTTCTTATTCGTGAGTAGAGGATTACAACCCTCTCTTCTAATTGGCTGGGGGGATTACAACCCTTTCTCCTAATTGGCTGGGGGATTACAACCCTCTCTCCTAATTGGCAGGGAGGATTACAACCCTCTCTTCTAATTGGCAGGGAGGATTACAACCCTCTCTTCTAATTGGCAGGGAGGATTACAACCCTCTCCTCTGAATGGCCGGAAAAAAAGATCTGGCCTTGGAAGCGAATTCACAGAGAACCGTAACTTAATTTAACCCTCAACTGTCTTAAAAATCAACCTTTCCTCCTGAAGTTCAAGTCTCAGTGTACTTTGGACGCCATACTTGTTGTCATTTCCTCGCCTTAACATTACACTCAGACACTTTCTTAGTAGGGATTTTTTTTTTGAGTTGTACGTACCTGTGAGAGTACTGTTCCCAGGGCCTTACCTCCAATTACTGCACAGGTGTGGGTTACTTTCGAGGTTACCTGGACAAAGCCACACAGGTTATAATTATTATTATTATTATTATTATTATTATTATTAGTGTTTTGATATATTGCGTTTTAGGGTAAGTTATTGTATTGTTCATTAATGATAAACTCTACTTGAATGTATGTATGTATGTATGTATGTATGTATGTATGTATGTATGTATGTACTGTATGTATGTATGTATGTATGTATGTATGTATGTATGTATGTATGTATGTACTGTATGTATGTATGTAATAATCATTTAAATAAAAATATCATTATCGTCTCTCCATTTAAAAGCAAAAACAAAAACTATAACAAATACAAAAACACGAAACTATAAGATAATAATTCAGGTTTATATTGAAAATAAAATAAAATAATAATCAACCCCAAATTAGATCAACAATAGTCTAAAATTTCCCATCCATTAAAAGGAAAAAACAAAACAAAATTATCATAGAAAAAACAAAACAATAGCCAAGAAATTTCCAGATTGCATTAAGGAGAAAATAAATATCCCATAATATTTTTTTTGAGAGAACAGATAAACAAAAGTTAATCCTTGTATAAATTCCACGTAATCCCTGAGACAGAGGTAAGAGATTAGACGGAGGGCAGGACGGTACTCCCTACCTGTGTTTGTCATTAGATCCAGGTCGTAAAAACGTGAGGGCCGCCATTCGGGTGCCCGCGGTTCAGAGGTCCAGAACGGATGGTCGCCTCACACACGGCAGTAATGTAGTGTAATTCTCAGCGGGACGACACACACACACACACACACACACACACACACACACACACACACACACACACACACACACACACACACACACACACACACATTCTTAAGTATTAATTACCCTCTTTAGGCCTTTTATATAGGGATAATAGTGTGTGCTTTTATCGTATTAGGAATGGATGACTTTTTTCAAGGCTTTTTTTTTATACCAGCCCTTAATTTACCCTTAGGGCTATTTATCAAGGGATTTCACTGGGTATTATTTTCGTTTTTGGTAATTTATATATAAGCTAAGGTTCCAATGGGCCATACACATTTGTAAAGCGTCTTAAGGCCTTATTTATATATGTCTGTGTGTGTGTGTGTGTGTATAAGTAATGTATATAACAGGGAAGGATCATAAAGTTAGGTATATAATGATTATAGAATTTATATTACACTTATAATGTCTTTTATGTCATTTTTTTCCTTTGGGCATCATAGAAAATGGGAAAATTACAGAAAATGGGAAAATTACAGAAAATGGGAAAATTACAGAAAATGGGAAAATACAGAAAATAGGAAAATTACAGAAAATGGGAAAAAATACAAAAAATAGGAAAACATACAGAAAATAGGAAAATAATAAAGCATGGAAATTCTAAATACTATTGAGCATTTTTAAAGTTTTGCTAAATAAAGTGACAAAAATATGACCTTCGACTTTTGGATGATACGGGAATTAAAATCATGAGATGAATTCCAGCGATGCAGGTTAGACTTTGCGGATATTGTGAAGAGGGAAGAGAGGAAATGAATGATTATGGAAGAGCCAAAAAAATTATAAAATGACTGGGAGTAATTTTAGACACAAGGACAAGGTGATGATGACCATGTTAAGTGAGAAGAACGTGAATGAATGTTAATGTAGGAAGAGAAGACGAAGAGGAAATGATGATAAAGATGGGGTTAGGATAATGAAGATGACACTCTCTCTCTCTCTCTCTCTCTCTCTCTCTCTCTCTCTCTCTCTCTCTCTCTCTCTCTCACATGCGTATTTAATCGTATAAATCTTATTAAAACTCCCAGGACGATGACGGTCATTACAACTCACAATACACAATGCACTGGGAATAATAAGAGAGTGATGGTAGTGGTTGATAAGTGATGGTAGTGATGATGGTGAGAGTGGTGATGATGGTGATGATAGTGGTGGTGAAAATAGTGATGATGGTGAGAGTGGTGATGATGGTGAGTGGTGGTGATGATGGTGACAGTGAAGACATGACACATTCCCCAGTAACTCCCATTTCCTGATGGTGGAGGGTGATAGTGAGGTAGACAATGGTGATGATGGTGATGGTGATAATGATGGTGATAATGAAGGTAACGAGGGCTGGGACGAGGGTGGGCGTGCCCGCTTTAACGCCAGAATTACCGGAAGTTGAGTCACCTAACCGGAAAAAATGGACGGAGGTAAAGTGAGGGACGGGGAGAGTGAGAGACAGGGAGAGTGAGAGACAGAGGAGGGGAGAGAGAGTGGAGGGACAGGAGATATGGGAGGGACAGGGAGGAGAGATATCAGGGAGAGGGAGGGACAGGGAGGATGGGAGTGGGGGACGAGGGAGAGCAGGGACAGGGGAGGAGTGAGGACAGGAGAGAGAGTGGGGGACAGGGAGTGGAGGGACAGGGAGGGAGAGTGAGGGATGATGGGAGAGTGGAGGGAGGACAGGAGGGAGGGAGTGAGGGACAGGTGGGAGAGGAGGGACAGGAGGAGAGCGGGAGGGGACAGGGAGGGAGGAGCAGAGGGACAGGGAGAGCAGACAGGGAGAGAGAGTGGGGACAGGGGAGGAGTGAGGACAGGAGAGCAGAGGGACAGGGAGGGAGGAGTGAGGACAGGGAGAGTGAGGGATGGGGAGGAGGAGGGGACAGGAGCGAGTAGACAGAGAGGAGTGAGGGACAGAGGGAGTGAGGACAGGGAGGGAGAGTGGAGGAATGAGGGGGGAGGAGTGGAGGGACAGAGGAGTGGAGACAGGGAGAGAGTGAGGGAGGAGGGAGAGTGAGGGACAGGGAGAGTGAGAGACAGGGAGGGAGAGTGAGGGACAGGGAGAGTGAGAGGTAGGGAGAGACAGTGAGAGAGAGGTAGAAGGAATGTGAGTGGGAGGGACAAGAAATGAGAATATGGGAAAGGGAGAGGGAATGAGTGAGAGGGACGGATAAGGGAAGTGAGGTAATGGGAGGGGATGGAGGGATAAAATGATGGAAAAAGAGGGAATAGAAGTGAAAGGGAATAAGGGAGAGAGGGAGGAAAGGAGAGGAAAGACACACTGTATTTTTCTCTCCATACCATCACATAGATCGGTCACCTATGGTATGTGTCGAGAAAAAACGACGATACGCCTCATTATTCGTTTATTTCCTCACTTAAATATTCACTAAATTACCCATTAATAAACGAATAAACATAAATTAATATCCCAGCGTCAGCTAGTCATTGTCATTTATAAAGGGAGAATGTTCATTTAATTCGCCCTGTGTTGGTATTTAATTTAATTTTCTGATTTAAATTCGTGTCGTGTTTTTTTTTCTTATTTTATTGTTTAGATTTTTTTTTATATAGAAAGAACAAGAGTGTGGGTGTCGTCTATCCTACCATACGTAATTTGACTTCTTTTCCTAGGATGAGCAAGAGTGTGTTTGTTGTTTATCCTACCATACGTAATTTGACTTCTTTTCCTAGGATGAACAAAAGTATGATTGCTGTTTATCCTGCCATACGTAATTTGACTTCTTTTCCTAGGATGAACAAAAGTATGATTGTTGTTTATCCTACCATACGAAATTTGACTTCCTTTTCCTAGGATGAGCAAGAGTGTGTTTGTTGTCTATCCTACTTTATGAAACTAGTCTTTTAGGGGGGACCCGTACGACACCTCCCTCACATTTCGCTCCTTTCAATGGCCCATTTCCTGTACATTAACCTGTTATGTTAATGTCCTTTGTTATTTTGTTAAATGAAGGTGTTCTTGTTAGTTTATCATTTATAGGCGCCCTTGTTACTTTGTTATGTAAATTCGCTCTAACTCGTTAATGTATTATATAAAGGCATTTTACTTTGTGTTATGGTGTGCTATGGCGTTTTAAAGGCGTTCAACTGTAATATTTTTGTAAGACTTCATCTGTATTTGTAAATCCCTATATTCGTGAGGTGTGTGTGTGTGTGTGTGTGTGTGTGTGTGTGTGTGTGTGTGTGTGTATAAAAATCCCACCTATCGTAATAGCGAGACTCACATTACCGCCGTGTGCGTCACTTTCCCGTTCGTCTTTTGTTTTCCCGTGCGAAGCTCCGCCCCCCCCCCCTCGTGATGGTGGCGTCAGAGGTTCCTGCGGGGGGGTCACTCCTGCTGCGCGCGCCCAATGACTGACATCCCTGGTAATCAGTTGCCATTTTCCTTCATTTGCATCATTCTCTTGATTCAAGGTTCCGTTAATAATCGACGAGATAAAGTTGCCCGGGCCGTTCTTCTTGGTGAGTAAAGAACCAACGTGAATAAATTATATATGCCAGAGGGTCTGTTGTATTTGTGGAGGAGTTGAGTTGTTCTTTCCATTATTATCGTGGGAGAGGAAGTCGGAGAGAGAAGTCCCTAACCGGTAACCTCCCAGTGTTCACCTACAACTTGGCTGGTCGTCCGCGTGTCACACAAAAGCATTAATTGAGCGGGATCACACGTCCCTGGAACCCACCTCGCCCGCCGCGCTCCACCACACCGAGAGACCCGCCCGCCCGCCCGCCCGACCGCCCGCCAGCCAGCTCAGCCCCGCGCTTGTCTCAATACAGCGTCAAGTTGATTTATTAGAGCGTTCTCCCGCGAGCTAACCACACCGCAGTCATCCCCACACCTCTACGGAAGGGAACACAAAAAAAAATCACCGTTCAGACGTTAGGTTATTGCGGTTATTGAAAGCGAGAGTTTATTTTTGTTTTGTTATTGTTGTGAAATAAGAAAGTTTGATGGTGAATCATTATTTTGAGTTTGTGGAAGAGAACTTGTTTGAAGACGCTGATGATTTCTGCTGCTTAAAGTGATTAATCAAGTTTTTCCTCCAAGACAAAAAGAAATAGGAAAAAAAAGGGAGAACTAAAATAATCATAAAAATAATTAATTCTTATAAGGCCGATCTACCAACCTTGATCATCGCTGACTATTGTTGATACTTTGTTTTGTTGACAACATGTGTGAAACATTTATCAATTTCACTGAAGATTTTTCATATCGACTTTCAGACAACAGAAGAAGAGGGTGGAGCAGGAACGGTAAGAGGAGTGTTTTGTGTCGCTGTAGTTAAACCTCCCCTCTCCTTCCCCCCTCCCTCACCCCTCCTTCCCCCTCACCCCCAACCCCTTCTAACCAACCCCCTCATCCATCCCCTTAAATACTACCCTGGACTAAAACCGTAAACCACTGAACCACCGAATCCTTGAACGCCTCACGAAGTTAAATAATGAAGCCAGGAATTCAAAATAATAAAGCTTATTAATCTTTTTTTTTTAATATTAACTCACAAATTAGGACTATTATCACTAAAAAACTAAAAAGAAAACTTATTATTTATATATGGATGATAATACTCCAATTTAATAGTACCATTAAGGCTTCATTAGTTTGAATCCCGTGAACTGTTCCGGATGTGAGGATTCGAATCTTATTTTTTTTTAGGGTTTTGTAATGTCCTCGGTTATAGCTAGTTAGTGGTGCCTGCCTGCCTGCCTCCCTCCATCCCTATATTAACATATTAACTCTAGTGAATGTTTACGTGTTAACAAAAAAATATTACCCACAGTAACGCAGCATCTTGAGTATTACCGATTATATGTCCTTAACTAGCATGTATATATGTATCTCTGTTATCTTATTATGTGTGTAATTAAGGTAATTTAGAGAATTTCATAATAATTTTAATTTCCTTTTGATGGTAGATAATTTTTTTTTTACGTTTCGTCAAGTTTTTAAGTAGACTGGTGACCATGTAAGTACATTTATAAAAGAATAGCAATGTTAAGCATGGATTAGTGTCGTAATTTCATTGTTAATTACTGTAGTTGTTAGTTGTTGATAAGCATGTTGTATTGTATACTCGGGGGAACTATGTTAAATTGAGTAGAAATGATAATAGCAAAAAAATAAGTAGAAATAATTGTGAGTATTTATATATAGAGAGAAATGATTTTATTTTGATATGACTAGTTGATATAGTAAGGAATAGTTTACACTGTTATTAGTCCACACTGTGTTCTTAGCTCATGGGTGATGGTGAGGATTGTTTTCGGTGTTTAGGAGGAATTGTTGGTTATTTGTGAGGGGGAACATGACACGGGATATTTGTTAGAGTGAAGAGACGGTCAGCTGTCACACCCAACCTGGTTTTAAAGTAGTGGGATATTGTTAACATGATGGGTTGAATATCACGTTACTAAACTCATCACGTCTACTATGAACTTCTCTCTCTCTCTCTCTCCCTCTCTCTCTCTCGTGAAAATTTTGTAGACATCTCAGTTCGGACAAGGAACCATCAGCTTTCGTGAGGCAAAAGTTTGTGTGGATGTCCAGACTCAATGAACTACCCTCTTCGCATAGTGCCGTAGAGGTGGATAGTGTTGGATAGTTGGAAAGAGGATACACCTACGGCCGAGAGACGGAGGATGATGTGTTTTTTTTAGTCTTTATTATTGTCGATGATGGAGTTGGGGAGTAAGTGGGGGGATTGAGTAGCTGTCGGAATGTGAAGGTGGTCGAGGGAACACTTTGGACTTGTGGGTCTTCCCTGTAACACAAAGGCATTGGTTGGTACTGTCCTGGTAAGAGGAGAGGCGGCGGCAGCGGTAAATATTTCTTCTCGTCTTTATTTCATCTCAGTTTTTTGAAGTTAAGAGGAGGAGTGTGGGTGAGAGAGTGTGAGGGCGGAGGGTCGGGGCGGCAGGTAGAGGGTAGTTATGGCTCCGCGTGATGAAGGGCAACAGGTAGCACCCCACCGGAAGTCCCATTGTAGGACCCACCATGCTCCGTTGCTCCTGTACAGGCCGCCCTCCCCTCCCCACGGGCGTATCCCACTTGGGGCCACCATCGTCCGTGTGGCAGGGGGACGTAGTGGCCACACGGACGACCCGACGGGGTGGCCACATCCGCCCCTGTGACCCGCCAGCACACCCCTCTCCTCCCCTACAACCCCCCCCCTCTTCGCCTGATCCAAACCAAAGCCCCTCGTGATAAAGGGATGTATTAATCGTTATCTAGAGTGTCGCCTTTTCTCTCTTTCTCAATGGCGTATCAAAACGTCTGATCATAACCGGACTGTGAAGGGGATTTGATATTGTGTTTGGTCAGCGCCCCAATTATACGGGACCGCAGCACTTGTCGCTTCCCTCAGTGGACCACAAGTTCATATGTTACCTTAATTATCTCCGGGTTCTCTGGGTTCCTCCTCACTACATTATGAAGGGGAGGGATTACTGTCATCCCTCGGCTGTATAAAAGAACATAAAAGAGAGCCAATGCAGGCAGGAAAGCGGCGGCGAAGGTTCGTGTCATCGGTGAATGGATAGCAATGCCAGGCAGTGTTCATCTGCTCGTGCTGGCGATGTCATTAATGATGTACGTGTTTAGGTTTAATTGTACATACAAATATAAAGAGAACTGATGAAGGACACATAGTGATATTATATAAATTACTCACTTAAACGGTGAAGCCACAGAGGGAAGATTAACCTAACCTAACCAAACCCCTCAGGTAGCGTTAGGGTGTTTAATCATCAGGTAAAATAAATTACCGAGGTGTAATCCTTAGGTGATCCAGAGAGCCTTTACATTAGTGGGGTGTGACCTCAGCTTGGTGGTGGGCTAGCCCTCTCTTGCCCCGCCCGCGCCGATGCCAAATAGAGAGTGGTATTTGTGTAGCACCGTGTTGACATGAAAGCTGTGAAATTCCTGCGGTTATGAAAAACATCGGCGTTTCCCTCATGTCAACACAGGAGAATGACGTGAACAGCGAGAGAACGGCCGATGCTGTGACCTGCAGTGTCCAACTGTATACTGTTAGTTTATACTGTCCAATTACACTGTTCAAGTACTGTCATACACCAGCGTCCAACACAGTTAGTTATCTGTGAGCAGTTAGTGACGAGTTAGTTATCAGTTAGTGACGAGTTAGTTGCCAGTTAGTGACCGGCACCACCAGTTAGATAAAGTCGTGGTGTACAGTCACAATAACGTGCGATGAATATCATTGTAATATGAATAGTGGAAACAATAGCAAGTTTATGACGACGCCCTTCTCTCTCTCTCTCTCTCTCTCTCTCTCTCTCTCTCTCTCTCTCTCTCTCTCTCTCGGCCCCCCCCATCCCACTAGCTCAGATGGGCGGGCGGACTATGACCGAAAACTCTCCCGCCCATTGAAATCTCCAGTGGCGCCTTAGAACGAATGCCGCCGCTGATATAGAGATCTGGCGAACGTCCGTCTAGTACTGCAGCGTTCTTCTCGGTTGCTTGTGCTAACGATGCTGTTTTGTTTCCGATAAAATTTTTAAAAATATATTGTATTATCCGGTTCTGTTCGTGTGCTACTGTCCTCAGGTCTCTCTCTCTCTCTCTCTCTCTCTCTCTCTCTCTCTCTCTCTTCCCCTTTGTTATTATTCCTTCGTCTTATTTCAGTTCCATATATTATTTTTCAGCCCGCCATTTCTCCTTGTGTTTCCTTACCTCTCTCAGTTATTCTTCTTCTGTTTTTATTTTTCCTCTTCTTGTCGTTTATGCCTTCCTTCCTTCCTGTGTTGTGGGTTATTTTATATTTTTACCTTACGTAACTCTCCCTCTCCTTTCACACCTCTCCCTGCCCTCTCATACCTCTCCCTACCTCTCACTGACCTCTCACACTAGTCCCTCATCTCCCACTGTCCCTCACTGACCTCTCACACTAGTCCCTCACCTCTCCCTAACCTCTGCTCACCTCCGCCGGAACTCTGTCTTCATTTTCCAAAGGATTTCCGTAAACTTGAACGTCCGGACCCCAACAACCGCATCCTTCCTCACTTGATCTGCTCCCGTACTACACCCCCATCTCTCTCTCTCTCTCTCTCTCTCTCTCTCTCACGTGTGTATCGCAAACAACACCCTGAGAATTTTTTCCTTTCGCTAAAATGCTCATGATTTTAGGACGAAGAACGGCTAAGAATTTTAATATAGCTGTCATTAGGTCAACTTAGCTGTGGTTAGAGTTAATGCTGGCAAGAAAAGCTAATGCTAGATCTGTAGAGCTATTAACTAGGGATTTATAAAGCTAATGCTGTGTCATAAAGCTAAACATGGAATTATCTCACTATTGCGTAGTTATAGAATTGAATGTAGAATTTGTAAGCTAACTATAGAGCGATAAAGCTAATTTTTATAGCTTTCAAGGGGATTGGTGTAAAGTAAAACTAAATTATAGAACTGTATTGGGAACGATGATGATGATGATGATGATGGCAGTACACTCACAATACACATAGCACAGCACACACAGCACAGCACACAGCCCAGCACAGTACGCACAGCACAGTACACACAGCACAGCACAGTACACACAGCACAGCACAGCACAGCACAGCAGGATATCCGGTTAAGGGCGAGAGAGAAGAGTGACGTCATTTCCGCTGGTTATCTTACTATCACACTATACGATACCTACCACACTCTCTTTGGTACCTACCTACCTACCTACCTCGCTTCTCCCTCTGGTACCTACTATTAAGCTCTCCTATACACACACACACACACACACACACACACACACACACACAGAACTGTCTCCCTTAGATTGTGAAATAATCCGTCATTATTGTGGACGTCAAGAGAAAGGTGAAGTCTTATTCACCATCTGACCTGAAGTGACCTTTTCCTGACTTTCCTTTGCTTTCACTGGGCGAGAGTTAAGTATGACAATGGTTTAGCTTTCTCTCTGTCAGTAGCTATCTGTGTATATATCTTTCTCATTTAGTATATGTCTCTTGTCTGTCTCTCTCTCTATCTACCCGTCTCTATCTCTCTCTCTTATGGCATCTGCTTCTCCCATTCTATATACATCTATTTACTTCTCTCTATACATCTCTCTATATTTCATTCATTCTTTATTCTACGTTATGTTATCAAACGGACATCCCAACTCCTCCTCCTCCTCCTGGCTAGTTCCCTTTTCCTGCTGTGTTACTTAGAATAGACGGAGGTCACTGTAGGTGGGTTGGTTCCGAAGACTCTGGCTGCGGGTATTGAAGGTTGCCATTAT